TGATGTATAATGTTATGTGGCTTACTCCAAATTACAATCTACTAAATCTCAAATATGAAAATAAAATCATAAAAATAGTGTTTCAAATACTAAAATTCTGAAATGCATAAATATTTGATAAGTATGTTAACAAATTCATATAACAATAAAAAAATGACGAAAAAATTGTAATACATACAATTCAAAATTCAACATAATTTTTATTTCGAAAATAAAATCTTATGAAATCTCGCAAAATAAAAGACTATTACGAAAATACATTTATGTATGAGAGATTTCTTGAATTAATCGATAGATCTGAACAAACTGATATGAACTTGATGTCACGACCCAAAATGAGTCGTGAGTGGCACCCACAGTTATCCCCCCTAGGTGGGCGAACCAACAAGTCTGAACCCCAACATATACCAATAGTTCAACTATAAATGACAAAAATAATGCGGAAGCTCCAAAATTTATTAAGTAACCAATTTTAATATTCTAAAGTTTAATACTTATCATACCAAAATTTGATAGTCATCACGTCAAGGACATCTATTTTCAAATTACCAAGTCAAAGAATGCCTAAGAAAACCAAAATAAGCAAAAAGATGGCCCATGTTAAAAATTTAAAGACATCAAGACATGAATGAGAGAATCCAGCACGAGCTAGAATTAATAGCTCACCCTGAACTCTGATGTGCTGGAGACTGGCTAGAGCTGAGGGCGAGTCGAAGTCGAGGTACACTTGCTGCACTCCACAAAAGAACAGAGAAGAAAATACAAGTAGGGATCAGTACATGGAACACGTACTGAGTAGGTATCATCGACAAACTCAAAATAGAAATCAATATATATAAAATCAACTACAATACTTAACAAATGGCAAGCAACAAAACACATGAACCATTGACAACAACACCATGACAGGTACACATCAATCACAACATCAAGCACACCTATGAGGACTCGTGTCTCCACACCATACTCATTTGAAGGATAGGTTCTTTGAGATTAAGTATATTAAGGTACTTCAAGATTCCTTTCCTTTAATGTTATTGTGTCGGAACGTGACACTCCGATCTCATATACCGTGTTGGAACGTGACACTTTGATCCAATAATACCGTGTCGAAACGTGACACGCCGATCCAATAATACCGTGTCGGAACGTGACACTCAAATCCAATTATCTCATTATTTTATTTCATCAAACCATCTTTATTCAAGGCGTCATTTTAATAGAGAGGTTTCAAGATTAGAAATTCAGCAGTCTCATAATTTCAGGCCAACCACAAATCACACAATCAAGACATACAACCACACCATCAAGTACATAGGAGACTTTACAATATCACTTAATACATATCAATCGTTATTGAGAGTTTATCTATGAAATAGAAATAAATCATAACCTACCTCCACCGAAGAATCGAAGTCAAGAAACTAGTCCTCCAGTGCCTTTCCTTTCCTTATTTCCTTCGAACTTCTCCAATCTGTCAAGTATATGTTAACTTGTAAGCTGACGAGTCTATAAACACTCAATTTTATTTTATGTCTAGCCTAGACCCAAAAACTCATCTAATTCTATAACTAATTTACTAAAGTTCAAACCTAGGGGTAAATCTTAGTTCCTCTAATTAGCATAACTTAATAGTATTCCACTAATACAACACACCTAATATCTAATTACATATCACTTAATTACATAATAGGATAACTTTAAAAAAAGAATCGAAAATTTACCCAACTTACATGAGAACCACACTTAATCTACATACATGAAACATGCAGGGCCATACCATTAGTGTATCCTAATTTCCCAATAACGTTAACAATTGAAGTCACTGGTCACGAGACCAGTGGCACACATGCATTAATTCTCTTTTTCCTTAGACATTTCTAGGCCATCGCTAGTAGCAATCCATTTGTAGATTTGTCCCCTAATCCATTCTCTGTCAAACAATAATATATATATACATATATATATATCCTCCACAGCCCACATTCTCTTATAACAACCACCATCCAAATTTCTAATTATACAATATTACAAAGCACTATCATTTAACAATTCGGTAACTAATCATATACAGAAAAACGTACCCGCAAAAAAAAAAATACACGATTGCTCGTTGATGTCGCCGTTTCTTTGTTTCAAACCCTTACTCTTATTTACTACCTTAATTCTTATATAACCAAATATAAAAAGTAGTAAAAGTGACCCACTATTTATTTTAATATTATTTTCTTAACCACTAATTAAGTAAATTAGTAAAACTATCCCATTAATTTCATAGTTATAATTATTAATAGTCCAAAACACCCATTTAAAATCTATCGGAAAAATATTTATGAAATAAAAAGTTCTTGTACTCAAAACGACCAAAAGAGTCGTTACACTTGAATAATTAGTTCTTCTTCAACAATGACAGACAATAATAGTGAAAATGGTAAAAGAGAAAAAAATTTAAAAAATTTAAAGATGGAAATAAAATTAATGATATTAAAGTCTAAAAGAAGTCTAAATGGATAGTGAATATGTTTAATGTTGGACTGGTTTGAGAAATAAAAGGAAAGACAAATAATAGTATTTATAAATTATTTTTAAAATATTAACATTTTGACGTTTTGACTAAATATTTTAAAATATAAATATTTTTACTAATTAAGTTAGGAATTATGACTATTTTACTAATTTTTCCTTATTTTTAAAATGAAAAGAGAGAGCACAAGAAAGACGAGGAACAAAACAAAAAAAAGTGAATTTAAAGGAAAAATCAAAAGAAAATGTACTGGGAAAACGTCAAAAAAAAACAATTGTCACATATCCTAGTAAATTCTGGAGCAAATTATATGCTAAGGAATGGGTAGCAACTATATTTAAATCCCATTCGAGTAAAAACAAGTAAATTAAATAGGTCCAGATGAGTATTTTGTGTAGTTTCCCCTCAATTATATTCATGATCAATATTAATTGAAATGGAATGTCTAAAGTCTTACTGCTTATTAAAATCAAAATGATGTAATATGTTTTACAAAAGAGATACATATTGAAGTGATTGATCATCTAACTAATTCACGCTTAAAAACACACTAATAAATTTTTCAAGTTATTTAACCTATAGCTATGACGCGTAAGCAGACAAATCCCAACTAAAAAGACTTATTAAATCTTTTAATTTGAATAGTTAAACAAATTACTAACAAACTTAAATAGTTTTCTGACTCACACATTTGTGAGTGGGCAGATGAGAGAATAATTTTCCTTAACTTATCAATGATTCTTGAGAATATTCAGGTGAGAGAGTAAAGAAAATCCTTGCAAATTCATGGGGTTCAATGTGACAGAAAACAAAATACATGTGGAAGGAAATATATACACATCTAACTATGCTAAATATGTACACATCTAACTATGCCAACTGTTTTTCTTTTGTCCTTTTTGTAATTTTATTAATTGTTCCTCATTGAACGTATATTCTCCAATCCAAACACTTTATTGTTAAAAGTTCCGATTGATAGTAGGTATAATTTTATTTCTTAGTAAGTCATTATTATGTCACTGGCCAAGACAGAAATTTCTCCAAGGATATTCAAACTTTAAAAGAGTTAATATAAAAGAATCAGCGAAACTTTTTATTTTATTGATGAATGGGAGCACCTAAATTCAAAAATTAAATTACATATCACTTAATAACTAAATAATACGTAAACTTACAATTATAAAACAATGATATAAATCAAAACTAATGAATAAAAGTCAATGAAAACAATTTTTGCTTCTAGTTTGAATATACTTCCTCTAATTCATATTAAGTGAATTGTTGAGACTTTTTTCATAATTCAAAATAACTAAATGCTTCAAAGTTTGAGAGAATTGTTGAAACATTTTTTGATATTTATCTTTTCTTGTAATAAGATTCATAAATATGTTACATTTTCTAAAAGAATGGTGTAGAAATAATAAAAAAATATAATAGTGGATAATAATCTTTAATTTTATCTTTAAAATTATTTTCTTAAGAGTGTGTTATACCTAAATATTAAATAATATATTATCTATATACATAATATAATTTTCTCATAAAGGATGCTCGCCTGACCATCCTTATATGGTTGCAGCTCTGGCCCTGCACCACGTAAACATCATGTTTGATCGTGACTCCGACTTGGCCACCAGCTCCTCGTAGACCTTGTCGTAGACAGGATATTGACATTACCCAACAATCCCCCACTCAATACTTGTCTCATGCAAAATGTTGTTCTTGGCAGTGGTATATATATATATATATATTGAGAAATTGACACAAACTAATATACAATTATTAGGTGCACCCATGGGGAGCATAGTAGTATCTTTGTGTCGCTGGTTCAAGCTAGAGGAACTACCTACGACACCAGGGTTCGAATATAGTTAGAGAGAGGCCTATTTCATTATTTTTGTTTTAAGTTTAGCTTAGAAACGGGTTCGCTTCTGGCTCTTGATAATCAAACCCATGATCTTGACTTGGATATCATTTGTTAGGATCAATTGTTACCATCATGTTAAGACTTATAGTTGATGGTAAGCACTTCATTATTTTTATTTTAAGTTTAGCTTAGAGATTTATTTAATTTTAGGCTTAGCTTAGAGAAGGGTTTGCCTCTGGCTCTTGGAAATCAAACCCACGATATTGACTCGGATACACTTGTTAGGATTAAGTGCTTATCATCATGTCAAAAATTATAGGTGGTAGCAAAGGCAAAACTTTATTGTGTAACTAAGTCCATCAAACAAGTGTATGTTTGATCCTGATTCTAACCCGAATCACCCCACCCCTGGTAGATCTTAATCATAAGCAAAACATTGGCATTATCCAACAATTCTAAGAAATTCTTTTTTCCCTTGTTTGCAAAGCAACATTAGTCTAATAACTTCATTATTTGTCATTGTATGCTAACTAACTTCATTATTTTCGACCTAACTCAATTATAGGGATAAAGAGAATATTATTTATTCAATAAAATCAAAAGCCACTATATGAAAATGTGTGTTTTTTTTCATAAAAGCACAAACTAAAAAGTGCACTTTACACGTTAGATACACATAATCCAAATGGCCTCTTTGGTCCACTTCTCACCTAGTGGAATGATTTGCTATTTTCTGTCCACTTCAAAGCCAAACAAGCCCTAGCCATTGAGTTCTTAGCTCCATATTTTAACTAACCAATAGCTGCTCGCCAACTGGAAATTGTTCCATTTGGCAACCAACTTTCATAACATTTGGTCCCCGGCTCTCAACTTCTAATTCGGCTTGCTTAGCCGCTACACCCTTTCTCCTCCTCTTAGGCGAGCCACTTTCCGAAGCTGATGATACCGATGAACTAGCCGATTCAGATAATCGTCTCTTAACCGTCACTCTAACCGGCTCCGGCTCATTTAAACCAATTCTATGCGGGAAATTCAATAGAGCCTTAGTACCGCGCATCCTAAAAGCGGCTTTATCATAAGCGAGTGCGGCTTCCTCAGCCGACTCGTAAGTTCCAAGCCAAACCCGTGCGCCGTTTTTAGCCGGATCTCTTATTTCCGCTGCAAATTTTCCCCATGGCCTTTGTCTAACGCCCCTGTAATGCCTTCCTTTAGGCTGCAAAGCCGCTGGAGCCACTGTCGGCGGAGAAACAGAAGTACTCATAGCTGGCTCAATCTCCTCCCTCGGCTCGAGTTTCACTTCCTCGGACGTTAAATTTGACGGCGTCCATCCGATACTAAAAGCGTCTTGTAGAAACCCATAAATTACCATATCTTCGGAATCGTTAACTTTTAACGGCAAGTCACCCCATGATTCGGTTAAACATGGCATGAGACTACTGAAACTTGAACTCCGGCAATACACCGGGAATTCTGCCGGAAAAAAAGTTAACTCAGTAGAAGTGGGAAGTTGATACATTATGAGTATTTGAAGGTTTTGTATACAAGGTAAAAGAGAGAAAAGAATTGTGAATTTTGGAAGAAAAGAAGGAATTGGGGTATATATAGGAGCAACAAGGTACATGCACCTGAAAAAGAGTTAATTATTATTTAGAATTTGAGGCTTCTTTGAAGTTTCTCACTAGGCAAGTGGACTAGTTGTTAAAGCCATTTTTCCATGTTTTTCTATCACGTGCACAAAAAAAACAAAACAAAAAGACTTTCATTCATCGACATCAAAAAAAAATTTTGTCCTTTGATTTTGGATTAAAATTAAATTAAATCAAATAGAACTTACATTAGTTGATAAATCGATCTTTATGAACCTAATGATGTGTAGTTTTTTCCTCCATAATCAGAAAATAATTTTTCATCCTTTTCCAACTTATAATACATATGATTGGGTGAGTTATAAGATTCTTTTCACCAAACAACCAAATTTCCTATCAAAAAACCTAACATCTACATTATACACTATCAAACAATCAGAGTTTTTGAGTTTAAACATCATCGTCATTTAAATTAAAAAGAATTTTTATGTATTTGGCCCATGAAACAATAACAAGTTAAAAAGAATTTTTACACTTCTAGCGCAACACATATATGCACTCTCTTAATGCTAACACAATTCTACTCCTTACGCTAATCTCCCAACACTTCCGCTCAAGCTAGTGATCAGAGACCACTCGAAAGACAACAAATTGTTGCTATGTGATCTTGTGATCAAACAAAATTTGTTATGAGTTATTCCCTTACCTCTTTTTTTCTAACAAAATGATAATTTATTTCTACATGTTTAGTTATTAGATTCACAGCCATGTAAAGTGCACTAAGAATAAGGGGCTAGGTTCCTGGAAATGCTTATCTAATAATGGCCTTATGTGATTAGTGATATATCCATATCTTGTAAATGGCCCTTTAACTTTAACAAAACCTTTTGGTGGCTAGATTATAGCGGTGTTTATTGGCCAGATTGAGATAGGATAAGTATTTTAATATACATTTAACATTATTGTATTTGCCTCACTCTTTTATCTTTACTATCATAGAATAATGGCAGGTGCTTTCCATATATATATAGGGAAATCGTCAGAAAATTTTATAAAAATTTGATCAGAAAATTTAAAAAATTATAATATTTTTTTATTCTAAAATAATCTGATTTTGTTTTCATTTTTTTATTAAAAGGTGTTACAATTAAAAGAATAAAAATATTTTTAAAAGATGAAATAACATTAAAAAAAATATTATTTTGACCAAATTTTCTGACCATACCAATTTTTCTACGTAATAAAATAAAAAATAGATGGTAAACCACCCACCTGAATTTATTCTTTATTGACCCCTAATAAATAATCATAAAATCAACTAATGGTCACTTAATTGGTGCGTGAAGTCGCTAAGAAACATCCTCCAAATCTTCTCTTTACAATATTCATTAAAATATTGTAAAACAATTAAGAAATAATAATCAACAATCATGATGTTCTTTGGAATACCGTCTGCTTTCTATCATTTGCTTCCCCTCCTTTTTCATTGTAGACACATTTATTTTAAAATAAAGCCATTGTGGTGGCTAAATTTTATCAAAAGACAAAAACAAGAAAATGATTGGTTATGAGACACTCATTCTTTGAGTCCAATATTAAAACAAACATTTTTGGAACTATAAATATTAAAAAGGACGTTCTTTAAAAACGCACATTAGAACGGATAGTTCACTCTCACTTTTAACAGTATTACATAAACTTTAAAGATAGTAATTAGCTCAAAAATTAGCAAATTACAATTATTTTTATTAACTCCACGTATATTTACATCTTTTTCTTGTTCATGTGAAATTATATTTCTTTCATCAATAATAAATATGAATTCTTCACTCCACGTTTTCTCATCCATCTTTTACTTTTTATATATACTTTATATTTTGATTTTTGAAATTTGATAGTCACGTGTAAACAATTTAGAAAGTCAGCATATTCATTTGAACCAGATGTTTATAAATGCAAAGAATATTGTAAAATAAAATATTGAGGACTTCAAAAAATTTCTGGCGAAAATTTTGGAGTTGTGCGCCTTCAAAGGTAGAAAAAGAAAAAGAAAAAAAGTTATTTACTTCAAAATATTTGGATAAACACTTGTTTTCTTGTTTTTTTCCTCCCTTCATTCCATATTAATTTAATTTTTGAGGTGTTTCACACTCTTTAAAAAAAAAAATTAAGACATAAATTGAACATAATTTTTTATTTTTACCCTTATTAACTGTTGTCAGTTTTTTTATTAAAATAACTAAATATTAATTAATCAGTAGTTTCAATATTAATTAATAAAAGATAAAATTGAAAAAACACTTAAAATAATCTTGAAAACTAAACAATTATGTTAATTTTAAAATTGAAAAATATCTCAAAAATTAAATTAATATGAAATGAATAAAATATTTTAGAAATATGATGGATGTGATTATTTTTGATAGGCAGGAAACATGCTCATAAAAAAAACTTAGGCATTCGGCCTTGTCTTAGTTGGTTCAATTTTTTAAAGAAAAATATTAGAGTTTCTCCGTAACTAAACGAACTACAACATTTTTCTAAAAGAACAAGATTGGATTTCACCCCATTAGTAGCAAACCCTAAAGAAAATTTATAACAAAAATGTGTCTTAGCTTATGAACTACAATAATTTATTTATTTTTTTAATCATGGAGTTCATCCGTAATTGGACAAATCCCAATACATATTCTTTTTAAAAATGTGACAATTTCGTTAATTTTCATATGGTCTTAGAACTAACGAAAAATTCAAATAAATAAATTTAATGTTTTCAAAAAAACAAATACTCAATTGAAACTGCAAAACTACATTTTTTCATTGGAAGATGAGTTATATTGGTCACATTATCCATTCAATTTAATTGTAAATATTTAATATTTGAAAATTTTTTAAGTCAACAGTACCAAATGTCATAGAAATAAAATGGACATTGCTCCAAGTCGCATAACAGAAACAGTATAGTTTATCTCGAGAAACTGATCATGAGAGGAATCATGGTCTCCTCAACCTCGGTAGCTTTTTACTATTATCGTTAGCAAATAAATAGTAAAATTTATTCTTTAAAAAAATTCATAAGTTTTTAATACTTTTATTATTGTGAAGAAAAATCATGATTTTATGTATAAAAGGAACTTTACAGTAGACTTGAACTTGAGAAAGAGACATAGATTTACATGAAGAGTTAATAAAAAAAAATTGCAGTTCATCCATTTGTGGGTGAACTACCTTAAAAGCTTGTCTAACAATATTATTTTGAATAAATTTGGAGTTAATAAGTATGATGGTGTTAGAAGATGATAATTATACTTCGCCGTTTGTTTTGGTGAGTGTTGTTAAAGAGTGTCTCTTTGGTGTTATGGGTTCAAAAAAAGTGTGTATTTTAATTTGATGTCGTACTACTCATTCTTATCTCACTAAGGAGTCAATTTGGTAAATTATATTAGAAAAAATAATATTACAATATTGTTTGGTACTTGTTTTCAAATTGATGTATAATTCTAGTTGATATTATTTTGTGCATAAATGATACATGAAAAATATATTATTAGCAGTATAAGAGGTTTTGATGCATTCATTAGTTTGGTTAAAAATATAATTATTTTTTAAAAAGAGTTACATTTTCTCACTATATTTATTGGAGGGTATTTTTTTTATAGATAATGATTTATGTATTTTTAAAGTATATATTATTTTAATACATTAAATCAAACACCGCATAATAAATAATGTTAAATATAACGTAGCTAATGACAATATTTTAATACATTATATTTAATATTATTCATATACACTAATAAAATAATCTTCGTCTTAAAATTGACCATGGTTAGTAATGGAGAACAAAAGTTACAACACTAATTTAATTGAAAATTACAAGATCAAAAGAAATGAGTGTAACAACTCAATTTCTTTTTTTGTGTAACAGTACTAGCAATGATTTAACGCTTCAGATAAGTGCATATTATGCAAAGGCAACTATATAATCTATAAAATTTGAACTATTCATGATTAATTTTAGCAGTGCGGGCTCTTAGCCTATCATTTTTTAGGCCACTGCCTTAGCCCGCAATTTTTTGGGGCCTCAAATTTCTATACAATAAAATATCATGTTTAATTTTTTTATGAAAAAAAAATTATTCTTCATAATAAAAAGTATAAATATATTATATTTTTTTGTTAATATTCATATTTTTTTAAAAAAAATTAACTCCTTATGCACTCTATTTTTTCAAATCTTTGATGATTAGAGTAATATTCTGTCAAAAGTATGAATCAACAGCTGAAAAGTGGTTGAAAAAAGTAAATTACAAATATTCTTTTATTTCTTCGTAATTTTTATATTAAAGTAAGAAATATCAAGTTGTCAACTTTTTGAATCATATTCTATAATTCTAACTCTTATCTTTATTTAAAAGTTATCATCTTATTACTTATAGAACTATATTTTCGATTCATATAATAATTTTCTCAATAAAATAATATTTTCAATGTAGAATTGATAAAAAAAATTCTTAAAAATAATATCTTAAAAAAGTTTTTGAAAAAAATCATTTATAAAAAGGATATTAAGTAATAATTTACATCTAAAAATTGTAATATAAATACAAATAATTTTTTAAAAATATTTAGGCCTCTAATTAAAATTTCGCTTTAGGCCTCGAATTGTGTTGATCCGCCCCTGAATTTTAGGTGCCTTTTTGTAACGACCTGTCTAGTCGTTTTCAGCAGCAGATTTTATTTCTGGAAAAACTGGCTGAGACGACGGATCCCACGACGGACCGTCATGAGCACGACGGACCGTCGAGGGGGTCTCGTTCCAAAACACTTAGATTTCTGAAATTTGGATACTGAAATCGATTCTCTGAACTTCGTAACGGAATGGCAGGACGGACCGTCACAGGCGTGACGGGCCGTCACAGATCCTTCAGTAAAATCTAGT